GAAGAAATGATAGCTTATTCTACATGCACTCATGCAGTTTGCTGCTCCTTGACCAGGTTAGGTCGGAAATGAATGGTTTTGCATGAAGCTGTATCTCACATCTTCTACAGGGCATTCTTGCAGTGCAGTAAGGTCATACTGAAAAGTCTGGATGTAGAGACTAAATTTAAGATAACAATACTTATTTTCGTGAAAATATACTAACAGAGGAAAGGATTTCAGCTTTTCAGTTCAGTTCTAGTAGATCTTTATTGATCAGAGTGAAGTCAGTGATTACTAGTTGGAGTGGTTGTTTGACAGGTAACTATTCATACATGACAAATTCAATTAGAGCTCTGGATGCTCCTCTTTTTTACCTGAATCTCCATATAAAATCTGTATATGTGCATTGGCGAGTACCAAATCAAATTCAGTGCTATTTTTGCTGGTTTAATCAAAATGTGTAAATTCCTCCAGTGTGCACTACAAATTTTGAGAAACAAGCCTTTTGGATCTAAGTGGTTGGTGTACACTAGAACCACACTAAGTCCCTGTATGGGAAGGTGGGCCATAAATAACCTCATCTTAGAGAATTACTTCTTACCTTAACACCAACAGGTTCAGAGAATAGTCACTACATTGACGCTCAGTTGCCTAGTATGGTACCATACATCTGGGTTCAGGTTTATAGGGCGGAAGGGTCACTAACACAACTCAGTAAAACAATAGCTTTTGAATTTCGTTCCCTGGTCGACACCAAATTCTTCTGGGATCCTAAAATAAGTTGTCTACTGGTCAGCCAATTAACCACAGCATGTGTTGTAGTGTTTGTGTTGCTTCACCTTACTGTCTAGTAAGAAGTACCCAAGCTAAGTCTCACTCCTTCGGTGGTTTCTTCCAGAGTTTCATGGATGTAAGATGTGCTATCAATTTGTTCATTAGTACCTATCTCACTTCTTCTATGATATGATATTATGGCTGTTGTTGTAGCCCTCTCAGCAGCATGATATCTTGGATCAGTATATTCAACAAAAAACAAGCAAGCTCTCATCACCTGGCAAGACAATCCATATGCATTGTCACACTGCTGTCCAGATGATGTTAGTTGGTGTATTAGTACTCTTGTAACACTGTTAAACAGCCATACTTCTGAATCCTTAAGTTCCACAAGGTACACTCTCATAGTAAATTTTAATCCATACAGGTATTTGCATAATATTTCGCAATGATGATAATTGCTAGCAGTTCCTTTTTGCTATGCAGTTATGAGTTTCAGAGGTGCTCAGCGTCTAACTAGAATACACAGTCACGCCATCCATGACATCTTGAACGAACCTGTGACAACACTACTTTAGAACCGTTGACACTGGTGCTTGAATACAGGATAAATGAAACATCCTACTGGGGAGATGGTAACACTGACATAACAGCTGAAATAAGCTTCATTGACTGATTACATTAATCAATCCACCTAATGTGTATGAGCCATCTCTAGTAAATACTACGAATAGTATCACTATAATCACAAAGTTTACCACATAGTGTGAATAGTACGATATGAAGCAGAGGAGACTGAACATTATATTCTTAGTCTTAGACCAGGGCCCGTCTTTGACGGCCTCAATCTTTGCATGATCTGTGAATAATTCATTGCTGCCTAAATATGTGGCAAAATATTCATTTGTGAATACGAAAATACACAATTTCAATTTCAAATGTTTACTTTATATACACAAGAATATCAACTTGAAGTATTTAACAGCATCATACAGTCACATACAAAGATGTAACTCGTATAGTTGAAGTAGTATTCCATTTGGTAGTCAAATAAATCCAATTCCTTTAGCATTTCACAAATGTTCATTCAGTAAATTATACAGGTAGGCCAAACATTTTAACTTGGAACTCGCCTGTGTGTGTGACATCTGGTCTTATTAGCACCAAAGAAAACTCCAACAGCAGCCTCCTGAGCTTTCAAGTGCCCACAAAACACGTGTTTAAGCTTGGATGTGCTGATGTGATACCATAACGTCATGAATGATTTCTAGCCATCATTAGTTACTTACCCATTTTACAGTACCACCTTCTATGGGCAGAAAGCCAAAAAATTGTCAACAACATTCACATTCAAGAATTCATGCTAAATGCCAGTTTATCAGAAAATAAATATAATATTAAATATTTAGAAGAAACTTCTGTGTGTTTTGGGGGAACATATCTACAACAGATGAATGTAAAGTCAAGTGAAAGTTGTTGCTGAATGTTCATTGCAAAATGATTCAAACAGGATAATCTATGTAGGAATTCACCTTGTGGCTCAGAAAGCAAGAATTGTGATTCCATTTTGACTTGTTTCCTTTGCCATAGCTATACTAACTACTGGACAATATGGTTTAAGACCAACCATATCATGATGTAGGCCAAAGGTTCCATTGTAGCTAGTATTCTGTGAAGTCCCACTTCTCTCCCTCTGGCTTAAAGTAGATACATAGATTTATTTTTTGTTTGTTCAGTTGGGGCAACCAGCAACAATGCTCTTCTCTTCCTCTGTTTCTTCAGTCATGTCAGCTTCTGGTTCCTGATCCAACAAGGATTCCAGAAGTTTTCAGTAACATACAACTTCAACTTATTTATGCATTCGACATGCACTCTTGTGCCATAGGACCATTGCAGTTTGTAGTTCGAATGAAATGAGGAGGTAGGAGTAAGGTAGGAATTCTATGTACTAGCCCCGATGAAGCCGCAAAGGTGGAACGTTGGTTCAAGTAAAAAAGTTATTTTATAATTATATGAAGTTTCACCTATTGGCTTTTTCATGTAAATAATAATTTGGCACATACATCTTAAACACCTTATGTCATGTATGTGGAGACAAATAAAATGAAATTAAAACGACTTCTGATTCTTTCCAGGGGAAACCCATTAAAAACTACCACAATTGAAATTAGTTTTAAATACACTGGCTTTCATTGTTGCAACGTACAACTTGCTACTCTTTAACAAAGATGCAGTGAAATAAAAAAATAACATAAATTGTTTGAGAGTAAACTAAAGTAGTAAAAGGAAGCAGTATGTAATAAACAACTTCATGAATGGTTTCTACCAATCATTGACTAATTACCCATAATGTCATGAATAATTTCCAACTGTCATTGAGTAATTACCCATAATGTCATGAATAGTTTCTAACCGTCATTGAGTAATTACCCATAATGTCATGAACGGTTTCTACCAATCATTGACTAATTACCCGTAATGTCATGAATAGTTTCTAACCGTCATTGAGTAATTACCCATAATGTCAGGAATAGTTTCTAACCATCATTGAGTAATTACCCATAATGTCAGGAACAGTTTCTACCCATCATTGATTGATTACCCATAATGTCATGAATAGGTTCTATCCATCATTGAATAATTACCCACAATGTAATGAATAGTTTCTAACCATCATTGGCTAATTATCCATAATGTAATGAATGGTTTCTAGCCATCACTGATTAATTAATTGTGACAGATGAAAACAGTCACGTGTATTCTGTAAAAATAATAGTGGGTGTTTGTTAAAAAGACTTCGAGGTAAAAATAAGCATTAAACCTTAATACATTAAACCAGCACTATTATTTTCGCTGATAAAAAAAGAAATGAAATTGTTCTTGGCACAAGGTCCACCAAGAGAAAAACATATAAATCTGATATTTTGTGGAAAAAACTTGCTTGGCTTACCTTTTAACAAAGGTGGTTTCTTCTTAGCCGTGAGAAAAGAAAAGAAACATTAGATAAGTTCTGATAGTACGATGCACATATGATAAACATAATGCCAAAATACAGTCCCCGCCCAGTATTTAGTGGATAGTTTTAGGGATTATCACGCTGAAGAACGTTTAAAGAACGAAAGTTTTAGCCTCGTCTAAAACGCTTGATTAGCTTATACTTTGTATAAGCTAGTCTAATGAAAACTGAATGGCAAACAAATGATAATATTAAGAATTTAGTTTTAACGATGAGTTTGTTTCAAAGTTTAAAACATTCAAGCATTTCTGAAGCCATTTTGTTTCATTTAATTCGTAATATTGGTGAAAAGATCTATTTTTTTGCTCTCATTTTTAATACTCCAGGAATAAATTGATTAATTGTATTCCGACTGTTTTAAAGAGAGTTTATTATAAATAACCAACATTGAAGCTATACAGTCTTACATGATATTCATTTAAATGTTCTGATTAGAACAAACATACATCTCTACTTAATACAAAGGTAAACATCAATATTGTTTGTTCTCCTACAACTATACAGACACGTACAGTCATTATGACACACAACTACTTCTCTGGTTTGTCTACAGATGTCACTGTATCTATCACAGATCATCAGGAGAATAGATCGCCATGTTGCTGGTGCCGCCTGCAAACATTTGTGACGTCTCAGATCTTTCACTCCTAAAAACTTAATGCTATTTTCCACCTTTTATCTGTACTAGTGAGGAATATCAATATATGAGCTTAAGCTAATTGGTGTTTAAGTTAGATATGAGATGACATTAAGTATATCATTCTGGCCTTATAGTCATATAGCCTAATATACTGAGATGATTTATGGAAAAAATACTATTCCTTGATTAACAAAAATGAAGATTAGATTAAGGAATTAAGTGAACATGTACTATATATATTTCAATTCATACAAATATTTTCCAATGGTAGCTAGCACCTATGCAAAGATTGTCCTTTTTTTTCACTTGAAGTTATACCTGATGTTTATTAATTAGTTATCGAAAAATATTCAAATATATCGATAATAAAATTGATAAGAACGTTGCTTGTAATCAGTTATATTGAATTAAATAAAAAATATGTGAAACGTAGTTGACACATATATATGTAGGCATTTTTCTTGCCATGTGATAGAAGATGTTTTCAAATTCTGATTCTTTAACTTGTATGTGGATATTTTATTATTTTTTAAGCATATCAAAGACATTTCGTTATTGTAATTATTATTTTATATATTTGGTGTAATGCCTTAGCGACACATATTTGATTTTATTAATATGTATTTAAAGTAAATTATGAAAATGTAAAAGTATAAAATTTTCAATCTGATCCCACAAAATCCATTCACATTCTATTCGAATAACAAATTAGTATATATAATGGTCTTAAATTTTACTGTTGTCATAAATATGAACATATTAATCTCAGCAGCTCATATCTAGACTATATATAAACGGTCATAAATTGGACTGTTGATTAGGCTGCTGGCTTACAACTTTTTACATTCTACTGCTTCACGTAAAATATTCTGAAGTAATTAATTGTCTTTTGTGGTGGTTAATTAGCAAACGAGGCTACCCCCCCCCCTAAATCATTATTCATAGTTCGGTAACCGGTGTCATCTTCAGAGACTGTTGAGCAGCAGCATGCAAGATGTTACTTTCTTCTTCGACACACGCGGTTTTTTGATACTGAGGTTCTTTCCTTCCAGAAGTCCATTTATTCTTGAATGCGCGAGACAGCTTTTCTCTGTACCGAAATCCCAGCAATACTAGAGTAACAATGGCTACTGCCGCTGCTACGACAACACCAATGATTATTTGCCGCCGTCTGTTCTCTAAAAAACAGCCCAACCCCTCTTCAGAAACCTCCGTAAGCAGCACGTTCTCGAGACCTGGAGGGTCGGCACATCGGACATCGGTGAGGTCACTTAAAGTTGATGACGAGAAATTCTTCTTGTTCAGTAAACTCCATAACCACAGAAGGTCACAGTTGCAGAATAGAGGATTGTCCCTGACGTCCAGCACATCAAGCTCATCCCACGAAAGTAAATCATATTGAAATGTAGTAAACGCGTTACCTCTTAAACTTACAAATTTTAGATGAGGCAGTCCATCAAAAGTTTGATGATCAATTTTACTAAACATTTTGTTGTGGTTTATCACTAGTTTTTGTATATTACTGTTATCTGCAAAAGCTTCTTTTTGAATTCTAATTAATTTTTGAGATCCACAGATCTCAATAATGCGAAGATACTTCAATCTCTTAAAACACAATGGTTTCAACTCTACGAAATTATTTTGACCTATGTTGATTTCTTCTAGACGTCGCACATCAAATAATGCATTGGTAGGAATTTCGTCAAGTTCATTGTCATGAAGCCGAAGAACAAGCAACGAATTCAGCCACCTAAATGCTCCAAGTTCTATTGTTTGTATTCCACAGCCATCAAGTGAGAGCTCTTCTAATTGTCTCAGAAGCGAAAAGGCTTCCTCTGGAACAATACGAAATGAATTCAGCCCAATATCCAGTTTTAACAGCGTTAGGATGTCATGGAATGCATGAGTTGGAATCTCCGTAATTTTATTGTCTCTCAACGAAAGTGTTCTCAAGCTCCCTAGACCTTCAAACGCAGCATCAGAGATAGAGAAAATTCGGTTCTGTGAAAGGTCTAGATTTTCCAGATTATTGAGAACACTGAAAACATTTGGAGGGATTTCTTCCAAAAAATTCTCATTCATTTGAAGAACAGAGAGTTTTTCTAAGCCAATGAACGTTTCATTTTCAAGCGAAGAAATCATGTTTCTACTCAATAAGAGATACCTTAGGTTGTTCTGTTTTTGAAAATTATTTTTACCGATTGTTACTAACTGATTATGCGAAACATCCAAGTACTTAAGATTATGGTAGACACTAAATGAAGCCATGATTCCTTTAATATGGTTGTTTTTCAGAACCAGTTCACGAAGTTCTGGGTTCAGAGTGATTGGGACAACGTCCAGATTAGCAGAATCGCACATGACACGTAGATTCTCGTCATCGCAATGACACTTAACCGGACACATAGCAACGACATCTGTCCACAGACATGTAAAATAAAACAGCAAAACAACAATACACGGAGAGCCCCTCAAACGATGCATCACTGTCTTCTGGAGTTTGAAATCTGGAAATAAAGAACCAAATAATTTTATAATAAATTAATTAAGGATTCCTTTGTTTTACAAATGTTACATAATCTTAAATTCTCACACAGAAATTCATTAAAACAGATAAACATAGCGTACACAGTGTGTTTGAATATATTACTGTGCTGGACATATGAGTAATTTTGATTTGTTAGCGTATTTATATTAATGCTACGATCTTACCTGTTTTCTTAATAACAATTAATCAAGGTGTTCATTGGGTAACATAAGTAGGGCCACATACATTAGAATCAATACTTTTGTGATATCATTTTCTACAAACACAAAGATTATTACCGGTTTCCTTACCGTAAACCACAGGGGGCTGGTACGAGTCGTTTAAAACTCAATAATCTCCAATAAAATGAAAAAAAAAGAAGAAAATATTATTAAAATATTTTTTATTTCAGCAGCGCATATAGGACAAATTATTTAAGGCCAACAGAAATATGTAATGTCAGTGATTTCAGTGTTTATACGGTAGATGGGACCATTAAACAGTGGTATATCCATTAGTACCGGAACTGACCGTCAGATGTCTTCCGTTAAGGCTCCACTTGCTCTCGTAGCGACATCCTGTTAAATATAGGAAATAGATATTGATCGACCTCGGGTGATATGTCTGACCGCTGGTGTAGTTAATGAGAACTAACTAGTAAAAAGGTAACTTACTCTTTCATTGTGGTAACTTTGAAAGACGTTGTTCAATGTTCTGATAAAATCTGTTTTAGTAATTAGAGATATTTAGTAGGTTTTGCTTTATACCATAAAAGAACAAATATCGAAATTTGATTCCTAAAAAAAACATATAAATCTACATTTCACCCGATTTATTACATGCTGCGTTTACATATTTCAGTATATTTTATCTAAGAAATAGGGAAACAGTTATGTATTCACAAGCAAAAAAATATATAAAAAAATTGTAATTTAACGGGAATTATCTATCTGACTCAAGTTTTAAACTCTAGTAGCAAATTCGATGGTAAATAGTAAGAGTTTTAAAATGATTGTGATTCGATTTGTATTTTTTGTATTCATCGTATAGCGACTAAGGCTATCTGTCGCTTGTGATTCGAATAGAACAAAATATGTTTATTAAAATATCTATAGAAATTAGGAATTCAAAGTAAAAGCTTTCATATGATTTAAAACACGTTTTCAAGATTAATGAAAATTGATAATGACTATTTTTGAAAAAATAATCCACTTCCGCTCTTGTGATTGTGTAATTACTTTATTAAGGTACATAAACGTATAGAAATTTGTATAATAAAAAGTATTCAAATATTTCTACGAAACCTTGTAAAAAATATATGTTTATAAAAGCACTATGTATACGTACGTTTATTATATCACTCTTATCACTTCGAGCTTATAAAGCTTAACGTCAGATCAGTAGTATTCCAATATGACTTAATACGCTAATATTAACTCCACCTACTTCCGTTAAGCAGAAATTAATGCATTCAATGCAGCAAGTATCAAACAAATTAAGTCCCTTCCAAACACTGAAAGCAAGATATTTGGTTACTGACGAAATCAACTGCCGTATGTTATTCTGTCATTAAGTCGTATTACATTCAAATGGAATCACCAGAGAACTCATTATGAGGCACGTTGCTGTGCAGTAGAATACTAAAGTAACCCAGCGGGGATAGTTATTAGAACGCTAATGCTCTTGTTTTCAGTGGGTAATATTGTGACTATACAATACAGCCATGCATTTGGTTAGGATAAGTATACTTAGGAAACACCAGCCACTATCACGCTCATACAGAGAGTTTTAGACACAAATTTATTGCAGCCAAAATCAATATCTGAAGAAAAACAGGTGAAAATAGAATCAGTAGTTCAGGAACCCTGCTTAAGAAAGTAAAACATTGATAAAATAATGGTCATGTAAGTTCATTGTCCTGTTAAGCTTGAAGGTTCCTTGTAAATCTTTAGATAAACTGGAATAAAAACGTAAACAAATTTACTTACAACATTTTAATTATTCATTGAAGACTATTGGGAATAAAAAACACGAAACGCTAAACAAATTCACGTAAGCGCTTTCTAAGCTATCTAGTCACTCTGAATTTTAGAACAAGACTTGAAAATAATTTATTGTAAGTTTAGCAGAAGCAATCAAATCTGGTTTATGAGGACCTTGTAGCTTAGATTCCACATCACTGTTGGTTCGTCGACCTCGAAAGGTCTAATGTACAGTCTCTGTCGTCCACTAATCAAATGAGAAGAATAAAAAAAATTCTAAATTGGCAATAATAAATAGAGAGGTGATAAATTTGTAAGGAACTCTTACGTACAAACTATATCATGAAATTCAGAAGCAAATTGTAATCTAAATCTATAAGGATGCATAGATTATGGTGTATACATAAGCGCAACTCCCCTTTCTGAAATTAAAATTTAAAGTTATTTACTGCCAAATCAAATTTTATCACGTGCTCACTGTTATCTCACCCAAACAATAATTATTGATTAAGAATAGGTTAAAATACCATAAATGAAAATTAAGAAAAATCGCAAAATCAATGTATACAAAATTAATATGCAATATCCTTAAATATATAAAAGCAAAAACTAACATCATGGAAGAAAATGAAGTAATAGTAAATACATATAATATACTACAACTAAAAATATAATTGGTTATAAAACAGAATTATGATTTCGAAGCATAAATGATATTTGTATTTATTGCAGAACTACTAAGGCTATCTGCCGCCATCCTTGATTTGAACTACTGACCAGACGGAAGACGGTCAGCCAACAGCACCATACTACCCATTACACATGCTAATGGACTGACTGTTTGTCTTATAACGCACTTATAACTTAAAGATAGGAAAGTATTTTGTAGCACCGATTCAAACCCGGCTCGTCAAATCTAGTACTCTACCATAAGACCAATCTGTGTCCTAAAACATAAATGGAAGTAAGTTACAATCATAAAACTGGATAAAAACCGCTCAAATCAGATATAGATACACAAAGGAGGACTAACACATCACTTTAAAGCAAAATAAACAAATATATAAACCTAAATGTGTTTCTATATGTTTCCATTAATGGAACGGAATATAAAAAAATCCAGAAAAATAATACAATAAAAATATATAAGTTACAAATTTTAAATAAATCATTTTAAACTGAGTCAAACTTACGAATAGGAATAAATGATAGATAAAAAATAATAATCCATACATTGGAATAAAATCAAGTTGAAATCATTATCAAACCAAAGAGTACAAATTTATTTTTGTTTTAAACACTTAAGCTGAAACGTCAAGTCATAAAAAGAAAATACACTGAAATAATAATAAAAGTGGAAACTAAGAGAAAAGCACATGTGCAGTTTTAAAAAGAAAATCAAATTAAATTTTACAAAACAGTGCCAGTGCACAGCACAGAAGAACAAGGAAATAATACATATATTCACATGTTCATGTAAGTTCCAAGTGGTTATAGTGAATGTTAGAGAGAAGACTTTCTAGGTCAATGGTCGACATGAAATCCGTTAAGGAATCCTAATAGATCATGTCTCTGGCTTTCTGCAAGTCTTTTTAGTCCAATTTCAGGTCCTTGTTGGTCCCAGATGTCAACTGTTGGTCTCAACTTTGCCAAATGTGTTCATTCCAGAGAAGTAGCTTCCTGGTCTTTGTCCAACAAATGGTAATAATTAATGTTTTGCTACAGATAGATTCACATTGGCTCGGACAGTGATTACTAATAACATTGGCAGTCCAATGTTTTGATCCTTATGGTGGTTGGGATTGGGCTGGTTTTATTGTCTTGGTAGCTGCTGACAGCTTCTCATTGGGTCATTTACTCTTCAGCTTGACAAGCTGTTTCTTGTTCTTTTCATACCATCGTTCTACAACTCTGGTTGGTGGAAGCCATGGACGGGCACTCCGTGTACTGGAACTGTTTATTATTATTATTATTTGGTGATGGATAGGTATCTGCACCTGCTGGTGCCACAACTAGTCCTAGACCTTAAGGACAGTTAGCTGGAACATACATGTCTTTGTGTTAGACACTCTAGAATTCTATTGACAAAACAACTGAGGCGTGACTTGGCTCTGGCCTGAGTTCATCCAGTCTCACGTAGAAACAGGCAGATAAATTCATCGAGTTATTAGAAACGTGATACTTTACAATAAAGAAACAAACAGCTAGCACTAGCTGTTGTGACTGTTATCGGTCAGAAATCCAGGCCACAACATATTTTAATGTCAGCTAGAACATCAAAGTCCAAGAAAAACTACAATACAAATATATAAAAATACAACACATCATTCAATGGTGAATATCATTAAGTATTGAAAAAACAGTGCTGATCTCCTCTGTTTAACGCTATTAACTAGACAAGGCCTTAGGAGAGAGTGAGCACTCTACTAGCTTTATGATAGGTACTTGTGAATTTATTGCAATTCCTTCAGAGCACACAAAGAAAACTTGGGCTACAGTACTTACACTTATGTGAAATAACTCCACTGTCTGGTTGCTGAGTGTTAGTCTTCTGGAGCATTACTGTAACTGAAACCATACATTGGTTCTTTGAAAGGGCTCAATTACTTCACAGGCTACTGATCACTCTCACTCGTAACGCTTGCATACCTAAAGCAGTTAGGGATGACTCTTTGGTGGTTTGAACGGAAATCGTTATTTGAAAGAAAAAGCATCAAATAACCTAACATATGCTACTTGAACACCTCTCTTACAAGTTAAGCCTACCAATGGTTCAACGATAAGCCTGCAGATTTATAACGCTAAAAAATCCATCCGATTTTGATACCCGTGATGAGCACACCACACGTATCCCCTGGTGTAGTTTTGTGCTTAAAAACAAATCAAATCACGAATTTGAATGTATTTTGCCCTTTCCCCCAGAGACATAGCAGTAAGTCTGTAGGCTTATAACGCTAAAAACTAGGTTTCAATACCAGTGTTGGGCAGAGCACAGATC